TTCATAATCATTGCTACCATAACCATTGGTAACGCGGCTGAAATTTTGAAATTTTAATTAGAGTTTACTTTACTTTTTTGTTTTTTTGTAAAAATACTGTCTATATAGACTCTATGCCAAAAAAATCATAAACGGAACTAATGATAATCAAAAAAAATCTGATGTGGTCAGCACATCTTCTTCTTCTTCTGCCCCTTCGTTTTCGAATGTTGGCGATCTTTATATCCATATTAGTTGATGTTATTGACAATTTCTTTATATCTCTCTCTGTCTCTAGAAAACTCCATTAAGGCTGACAAGTCCCTCAAACCGGTCCAGTTTCTAATGTTTCTCAACCATGAAATTTGTTTCCTTCCGATGCCTCTTTTTCCTTGTATTTTGCCCTGTATTATGAGTTGTAATAGATGGTATTTTGAGTTTCTCATAACATGTCCGAAGTATGCTGCTTTTCGGCGTTTAATGGTGGTAAGTAACTCACGTTCTTTGTTTATTCTTCTCAGCACTTCGGCATTGGACACCCTGTCTATCCAAGGAATTTTCAAAATTCTCCGGTACAGCCACATTTCAAAAGCTTCGATTTTATTCATTTCTGCTACTTTCAGAGTCCACGTTTCCATTCCATACAACAATACTGACCACACGTAACATTTAACGAATCTGACTTTTAGTGCGATGTTGATGCCATGATTGGTAAGAACTTTTTTGTATCTGAAGAACATCGCCCTGGCAACTTCAATTCTACATCTTATCTCATCTGAAGAGTCCCAACTTTCATTAAGCCAGCATCCGAGGTATTTGAACTTAGTTACTCTTTCTACTGTTTTATTATCTATAAAAAGCCTCGTATTGTTGATGTTGTTTTTCCTGCTTACAACCATATATTTAGTTTTATCGATGTTAATATGAAGACCGAACTGTTTACTATAGTGGTTAACTTTGTTCAATAAAGTTTGTAAATCTTCGATACTACCAGCTATTAAAGTGGTATCATCTGCATATCTGATGTTATTAATGTTGATGCCGTTAACTTTGATACCCTCTTCTACATCACTGGTTGCTTCTTTAAATATGTTCTCTGAGTAGACGTTGAAAAGTAGAGGTGAGAGAATACAACCTTGCCTTACACCTTTAAGAATCTCGATTTCTCTTGTTGTTTCCGCTTCAATTTTGATTTCCGCTGTTTGTTTCCAATATAATCTTTGAATGCAGTTTATTTCTTTCTGGTCGATGTCCATATTTTGCAAAATTTCGATTAGTTTATCGTGTTGGACTCGGTCGAAGGCTTTTTCGTAGTCTATGAAGCAAATAAAAACATCTTTTTGCACATCTTTACAGTTTTCAACCAGAACTTTTGTACAAAATAAAGCTTCTCTTGTACCCATACCTGCTTTGAAACCAAATTGTGACTGCCCCATTGCTGCTTCACATTTTTTATATATCCTGTTTTGGATTATTTTTAGAAATATTTTTAATGTGTGACTCATTAAGCTGATTAGCCTGTATTCTTTACACCGTTTTGCATTTATTTTCTTTGGAAAAGTAACAAAAGTCGATTTTAACCAATCCCTAGGGTATTCTCCAGTATCATATATTTGATTAAATAATTTTACAAATATTTGTAAATTGTCTTCGTTTATCAATTTTATTATTTCTGCTGGGACTTCGTCAGGACCTGTTGTCTTGTTTTCTTTGGCTGACTCGATAGCTTGTACAATTTCCCCTTTCGTGATTGGTTGACCTGTTAGATGTGGTGTTGCTGACTCAGTCAAAATCGATCTATTACTATCCGAGAAAAGATCTTTTATGTATTCTTCCCAGACCTGTTTCTTTTCTTCTATATCGAAAACAACTTTGTCTTCTTTGTTTACCAAAATGGATGAAGTCTTTTTTCTATAAATACCGGATGCTTCTTTTAATTTCTTATGAAGGTTAAAATCGTCATGGACTTGTTGTAATCTTTCTATTTCCTGACACTGTTGATTAAGCCACTCTGTTTTTGCACATCTAATTTTTCTTTGGATGGTTCCGTTTAATTGTTTGTACTTTACCGGATTTATATTTCTATATTTGCGCCTTTCGTTCATGAGTTCTATTATTTCTTCAGTCATCCATTTATTATTTGTGATATGTTGTTGATTACCCAATTTGGCTTTAGCAACTTGATTTAAAACTACTTTCGTTTCTGTCCAGATATCGTTTGTGTTGTTTGTTTCTAAATTGATTTCGCTCAGCTTTTGATTTATTTCTGCAGTAACTATGTTTTTTGTTGAAATATCTTTCAATTTAGCTACATTCAGTCTTGTTCTTTGTGGTGTTCTTTGAATAACTGCAAGCTTGATTTTGATGTTGGCTAGTAAGAGATTATGATCTGTCCTAACGTCAGCACCTGGATAAGTACTGACCCTCGAAACAAATGAACCGAATCTCCTATTAACTAGTATGAAATCAATTTGATTCCTGACAGTGCGTAGATCGTTATCTTGTGGCGATTTCCACGTATATAACCTTCTTGGCGGTAAACTAAACCATGTGTTGGTAATTTTCATTTTGTTTTCTTGACAAAACTGAATTAATCTGTCACCTCTTTCATTTCTGTCTCCTAAGCCAAAATGACCGGTTACTCCTTCCACTTGAGTGGAGCCCACTTTGGCATTGAAGTCACCTAATACGATATTCAATTCTTGTGGTTTAGTGAGCTTCATTAATTCGTCGATGTCATGGTAAAACTCTTCAATAACTTCATCACTTTTATCTGCTGTCGGTGCGTAAACTTGTATCAAGTTGATGTTAACAGGCTTTGCATTTAGTTTGACCAGCATTGTTCTATCGGAATGCGGAATAAATGTTGAGACACATTTCGCAGCATGGCCCTTGATAATCATGCCCACTCCGTTGCTGTGCTTCCTATTTTGATTACCAGAATAGAAAACCGTAGCGTCATCTTTTTTAAGCTCGCCGGCATCTGGCCACCGCATTTCACTTATACCGAGAATATTGATGTTTAATCTTGTCATTTCTAATATGGTATTATCAAGTTTTCCTGCCTCATATAAACTTTGAACGTTCCATGTACCAATGTTTAATTTGTTTTTTGTTTTACCTCCGGGGATTCTTAGCACCCTCGTTGCGCCGGAGACTGAGGGCCATTGATTCTCTTGGTTATTCATAAAGATTTTCTTGGGAATGTTACTTCAGTGGTTTCCCGTTGCCTTCTGAAGCCCATGCCGTTGACAATTCAATTGTTCATCCGCCTTTAGAATTAAAAAATAACTCAGGGGCAAGAGGTTGCCCCGCCAGCTAACACATTTATATAGCGAGCCGCTTGCTCCAAGACAGTCACCCGCTCGTAGCCGCCAGTTGCTGGACAGACGCTACTAAATTAAATATCTTCTTTGTTTTTCGATATTTAACCCACCAATCTCGTTTGTTGTCGACCCAAACTACTCCACTTGGATTGGTTACCAAATCTTCCGTAAGGGTTGCTCGACTTAACAGGGTGGACCTCGTGAAGGTGAGATTTGGTGTTGAGTAGTAGAGGCTAGGTTGATGTGACAGCTTCCCATCATCTTTATTCGCTTACTACCCCGTTTCCAACCCCGGTCAGCACATAACCGACCGCATTGTGTATTGTCTAGTTAAATAAAAGTATTACAGAATATTATAAAAATGTCTTTTAAATACTTCTTTCCAATTTTTAGGACATTAGTAAGCTTATAGTTAACATACTTAGAAAAATGTAAATTTGGCTTTTCGTAGAGTTTCGCTTTGTGCTACCCGAATTCCCTGAAATGCTCCCCAGCTAGTTTTGGGTAACAACCAGAACTCAAATATCATATTTCAAGAAATTCCATCAATTCGTTCCGTAGATATGATGAAAAATGTAAAATCGGCCTGCAGATCAGTTTTCAAGCCCTGATCTTTCCAAAAAATTTACATGTTCATTGTTTTAATACGAGGAATTCAAATATTAAATTTCAATGAAATCAGTGATTATTTCTCTTTATATACACAAAAATGTATATTTGGGCTGTAGTAAACTTCTAGTTGCAGATGCCTGATTTCTTCCAAAACATAGGAATATTCGGGGACGGTCGAGCTGAGCTTATATATAAAATTTCAAGTAAATCGGTTGAATGTTTTCTTCAAAATGTACCAAAAGTTGATCAATCCGTGCCATGGTGGAAATAAACTTACATATAAAATTTCATCAAAATCGGTTCAGCCGATCATAAGATACACGCGTGCACACACGGCCGACAGACCGACAGGTTGCTAAAAATAGTTTATTTACACTTCCCTACTATGGAGAAGTACGTTCCCACCGAAAACTCGATATGCAAAATTTGTTGCCATCACATAACCTACCTATTGTTTACACAATACGGTCGGTAATTATAGTATGAAAATGTTTAAATTATATGGTAGTATTAGATTTGCTGTTATGAAATATAGAGCCTTAAGGAACGCAAAAGTTTTTAATTCATAACAATTCTCTACGCATAACAAAACTTGCTATTACCATTAACAAACACCTAAATTTTTTGTTTGTTAATCCTGTAAATATGCAATATTTTGTTTTATATTTATGGCTAATTGTTATTCTCCAAAATTTATGTTTAAATTTTAAAATTTGTTTGGAATTTCTTAAATTTCTGTTTGTATCAGATTAATATTTAATTACATTTGTACATTTTTAAATTAATTAACCAGCCCCATTTACAAAATTAAAGAATAAACTGTCTATATTTGTGTGAACCCATCGTCCAATGATCTTTTAGCAAGTCATAAAAATTTTCAAAATTGTACGAATGCTCTTAATACCGTGCCAATAATTTACATAAGTTAGTAGGAATATGATTCTTATCAAAAAAAATTTCGAAGATATTACAGGCTTCACATGTCTTTTGGCAGATTTGAGAATAAAATTTAATGAAAATGTAACATTTTTTTTTTCATTTTATTTTTATTAGAATAAAATTTCATAACATATTTCATTTGGTGGAAAAAATAAAATAGAAAACGCAGTTTACTCAAAATAATATCAAGAATTTAAATCATCATCCAAATGACTTACAACAATTGTCTGAATGATTCAGTATCCTTATGTGTGAATATACAGTGACACATGTAGTTAGCAGCTTCACAACTAAATTTATTCAGAGAAAAAAAAAATTAAATTTAAAAAATAAAGAAAAGAATAGCTAAATTTTATAAAAATTTGCAATGCCATTACCGATCTGTTTCTGTATGTTGATTACAATCATCGAATACTTTTCCTGCCATATTCAACTTATTTTCATCGGCACCAAATATTGCTTTAGCAGCATCTAAAATTTTATCTTTAGCGATCTTATTATCAGACATCTGAAATATAAATACGCATTAACATTATATATGTAAGCTCACAAATAATTAGGGGACTGCATTTAACAGAGTATATAAAAACCACAACAAATAAATTTTATTAATTTTATTTAAAGTAAAATAAGAACTGGAAAACAGCAAGAACAAGAGCAGAAATACACAGAACCAGAAGACTCCAAATGAATATGATTAGAACAAAATTAGGTGAAAAATTCGAAATATCCGAAATGAATTAGGCGAAGAAAACTAATGAAACAGATTTCATCTCAAAATGATTGGCGATAATTTGATCTCCCAATTAAATTAAAATAGTTTTAAAACGTTTGTATGGTCATTGGATGCATTGGATACAAAATCTGACATAGAACAATGCAGTAAGAAATTTTCCAATAACAATAACTACAATATATTCACATTTCTGAATGCCATTGCAGGTTCCTGAATACCATTCAAGATTTTTCTACTTAATTCCAGACTCTCTTTTTTTTCCCTTCATCTGTGCAAATTCAAGCATAATTGGACACACTTGAATTTGCACAGATTGAATTTTTTGATAACAAAAGCTTTTTTTCAAAAGAAGAAGAGCATTTGACAAGCGATTTGAATTTTACGAACACATTAGCCCAAAAATATTTAATTCTTTACAAAATTCAAGCAAATTAGATGAAACACTTACCACACCAATATTTTCCATTATACAAGCTTTAAAACATTTTCCTTCACGTGATGTAATCGGTTCATGTTTCTTAATTTTTTCAAGAACATCTTTATAAAAAATTTTTTATGAAAATAATAAAAATTTTTAATTTTATAAAAATTATAATTGTAAAAAAATATTATTTAATTACTCACCATCTGGAACATTTGATTCAGCAAGACATTTTTCTTTAACTTCCGACATAATATTTTTTAAATCATCTAGAGGTGATGCTGTTGCCAAATTATCAATAAGACAAACAGTGCAAACAATTAATAAAAAACTTTTCATTTTTAAAATAATTTTCTTTTAAAATTGAATTTGCTATCTAATGAATGCCGAATGAAATCTCAACTAGAACTGTTATTTAATATTAACGCCATCACTTTATTTATAATAAGGGTGGTGTTTAATGGCTCAAAATATTCATAGCAATTTTGTTTTTTGAGTTAAAATTTAATTTGCAGTTGAGTGATTTTTTTTATTTTTCATTAAATCACCTACATGTCCCCTACCTAATTAATGTACAATTTATAATATTCAGAAATGACGAATCAAATAAAGCTTTAATTAATTGTATTAGACGAATTTAATTATATAGATAAATAAATAAGAATTTAAAGATGAACGTATAGAATTTTTATAAATAAATACAAATTATAAGTTTCTGAACCTAAAATTATAGTGACGAGTATTTAATTTTTTTAAAATTTGAAATATAATTTTAATTATATTTTTATTTTTGCATGTTCATAAATTTTAATTTTTATACTATTAGAAAATTAATTAAGTATATTAAAATTTTCGTCAACAAATAACATAAACAAACATTCTCTTTCATACATAAATAAGAGCTGAAAGAGAGGCTCAGAAAGAATCTTTTAGTTCAGTCAATTTAATATTATTCTCTCGCTCTCTTTTAAATCATGCATAATAAAATCTTTGTATTACGAGGTTTTGACATTTAGTTTTGTAAAATTTTTCAATAATTTGACATTTGTTATACATACAGACAGCAATGTACATGCAGCAATGTTTCTATATAATTTTAGTTTGTGTGTTTTCAATTTCATACACAACAATAATAAGACAGATACGACATCTGTCGAAAACGGTCTTCGGTTTATTTTTTATGCGAACAAAATTTAATGGAAATAAAGTTCTTCATTATAGAGGAACTCAAATGAAAAAAAAAAATGCGAGAAGAAATAGAGTTGACCATGTCAACTTTGTGATAGCCGTACGAATATTTGGCTTTAAAATATTTGACACCTTGACAAAAACATTTATTACTAGCATTTTTCTGAATGGTTCCAATACCAATACTTGGTTGTGAGTACTTGGGTTTTTTCAAAATTATTTTTGAATTTATATGAAAACTATTACAAGAACTTATGCAATCGTAACCACATTTAACTGGAACAGAGATCCTATTATTCTAACTCAGTTTCTATAACTCAAAACAACTGGATTATATATAAACTGATTATATTCGTGTCGAAGCAAATGACCAGCACATCACAGTAACTAGTCTGTGCTCCCGTCTCATTAACCTCATAATTGTTGCGTTACGTTACATCGTCTTGAAAAATTAGTTCGAATTATTCTGCAACACTTAGTCTTAGAGAGTCCTCCATCTTAAAAGCGTGTAACTTTCAGTATATCAACGAATCTTAACGACATTCTTAATCCTAGGTACTCTGAAAGTATATTAATGATATTCCCGTGATTCCGAACGTCTTTGGAGAATTTTTGTGCTTTGAACCATTAAAATCTATTTTAAATAAACATTTCATTGAATTATTTAAATATTATTCTATTTTACTCTATATGAGAAGGTCAATTGTAAATCAATAATGAAAAAATACAATAACAAATTTTTCCCTTCATTCACTTTCATCCTGATAGATTTTTTTCTCTCTCTCTTTCTCTTCTTTTATTATTTATTAAGATTACCATTATCATTAGCATTACTCTTTATAATTCGTAATATGTATGTATATAAGACCGCATTTAACATTATAATATTGACAAATGGTTCCGATAATGGTGTCATTATTCAATCTATTGTGCGATTCTTTTTTTTTGTCATGACAATCGATTTTGGCAAATAAACCATATAGCTACTTGTAGCCTTCAAATGAATTTGAATTGTTCTTTATGTACAATTTTCTTTATTTTTTGTATACAAGTAGTATTTAGAATAAAAATCGTTGTTTTACAGATATTTGTAACATGGATTTAATGATAGAGAAATAATAAATATTCAGTAATTTATCTTTCAAAAGTATAATGGAAGGTTCAATTCTTGTGATCAATAACCGGTCCCCTGATTATATAAAAATTCATTATAATATACAGGTTGTGCGAGATTCAACGGTGCTCCTAAAGCAGAATGATCGAATAGATTCAGACGAAGAAAAATAATTTGAGATAGTTTGGTTTTCGCCATTATTCTTGAATTATTTGTCCCTAATGCTGACTTTTCTAAAATGCGTTAAATTTTTAGATTTTCCTCATGTTATTTTGCATGTTATTCCTGAAATTTTTGCCCAATATCTAATTTCAAATTTAAGGTTCAGAATATTAGCTTTTTTCCCTAATCTAAAGATTTGGAAAAGAATAGAACATTTTTCTTAATCTAAAAAAATCATTGACACAATTGACACGTTACGAGTACTATACGGGGAATTTTGTGATGTTTAAAATAAGTTCGCCAAATTCATTCTGACTGTTATTTCTACCAAATTATAAGGGGAAATATACAAAAAATTGAAGTATTTCAGAAAAACCATTTTGACTTCTTGAGTTTATTCTATACTCCAGTGCTTCAGGAGTACCAACAAGTCTCGGCCACCCTGTGTGTCCACAAAAATGTTAATAAAATATTTCTAAATAACTTAAAAACGAATAAAATAATAAAAAAGGTCATCACCACCATCAACGTCATCACTATCATCAATTTTCTTGCCATAAATAGCCAATTTAGAAATTGTACCTTTTTATATACATAATGGGGCTTTTATTGTAGACCTTTAATTTTTTTTCTCCATTATTTCACAATTTCTAAACCAATAAACTACCAATTACAGGGTAACAATTGCACTCAAAGACACAGAAAAAAAATAAAGAAAATCTTTTGTCGTCGTTTTCTCCTTCAAACAGAAAAGAACAAAAATTGTTTATGGGGCAAAGTTTTAAGTAAAAATCAATTTATTTATGTTTTGTATAAAGTAGGCTAGACCATCAAATAAATTTTATATTTATAAAATGAAAGTAAAAGTAAAAATTTTATAATTATTTAATTAAGAAATTATTTTATGATTAAAAGGGAACTTTCAAGAACTTTTCTTTATTTTTCTCATTCCATTTTTAAGGAAATTGAACGTGTTTAAAATTGAAACGTGTTTAAATTGAAAAATCGCCCCAAAATGTGCAAATTGTGTTTACATTAATTTTTTGTCTTATTCAATTTAACACGCTTTTCTTAAAGTTAAATATTAAACGGCCGGATGCAGTCAGCAATGTTGTATGAGAGTTAAATTTGAGTTAAGAAAACGGATCAGAAATCCATAAATTATTCAAGGTGCCTTCGAATTATAAATGATTATTTCTAATATATTAAAGAGATCAATACATCTAATATTAAAGGCATACGCTAAAGAAAACTCTGCAAATCAAGAGTGTTGCCAAATCAAAGAAAGCCTTTAAAAAGAAGTGCATAAAATTTCAAGGACATTAATTTGCTTACAAATTTAATTATGGTAACCAACGCTCGTTTAGTTTTTGTTCGTTTAGTTCCGAAAGTTGATAAATTTTTGAAATTTTAAAAGGAGAATTCAATGAACTACATATACAGGGTTTTTCAGAGAGATGTGCATCAATCTATACTTGCAATCTATTAGTAGGAGTGTCGAAAATGGGCAAAACTTTTGTTCTGGAGTTGTTGCCGTTTCCAAGAAATACGGATTTTAAAAAAACTTCTAGAAAGCTTTGAAAAGGAACTTGTGGTTTCAAAAAAAGATAGAAGCTTCAAACAAAAAGGTTTCGAAAGAGGTAATAAAACGCTGGTAAATAACACACCATACTATTTTGTTAATTATGTACTCTCGTAAAGGTAAAGTATTTTTAAAGCATGTATTCGAACTCTAAAAAAATGTTAATTTCCAGAAGCTCATAAACTGATCGAAATCTTATTGAACAAGATTTTTCCATTTGAAGTGATTCAATAACTATATTTCAGTTGAAAGATCAATATTCGAAATTAATTGCAAATACTATAGTTCCCTTGTTGAATAAAATTACTATCGGTAATATTAATAAATAAAATTGATTTATTTCTATATATCAAATCATTTTAGAAGGGTTCTAACATATTTCTTCACATGTTCATTAGAATTATTTTATATGCAAGTGTTATGCTTATAAATTATGCTATACCATAAACTTAAAATATGGTATTCTAACAATAGCAACATTATTTGTTCACGATTTCTGATAAGCATTTAAAAGCACAACAGCATTGTTGTGAGATTTTCAATACTATAAAGGAAAAAAACAACGAAAATAAAAAATCCAACTGCGTAAGGAAATACTTAAGGAGCTATTAAAATAAAATTTTTCCTCTATGCTTTTAGGAAAAGGAAATGTTATACGAGTACAAAACAAGAGGAAATTTATTTTTTTGAAAAATTTATAAAAGGTGTAAACGCGAAAGTTGCAAAAGAGAAAATAATCAAAAGAAAAGAAATGATTTCAATTCCTTTGTGTTGCAAAAAACAACCTGTAAAGAAAATAGGAAAGAAGGAACAGCTGAATTTTAATAGCAAACAAATTTTATACTAGGAACTTTGAGTAGAGTAAAAACATTAAAATCTTATTCATTTTGATATGAAATTGCGCTTCAAAACAGCTTTCAAGGACAGCGACATTAATATTAGTATAATATTGCCCTAAAAGTATGCAATAAATTTATTATTGCATATTTTAATTGAACATCATCTTTTATACCAGAATTATTTAAGATTCTCGTTTAATGTTTATAAAATAGAAATCTTGCGGCTAGTTTCATTCCAAATTTAAAATTGAACTACCTGATGATTTAATATGCATAAATTATGCCATACGGTAGATGAAACTGAACAAACGATCAACAATGTTCAAATTTACTCACCTGTTTTTTAACTTATTGTCCATCTTAAGAAGGTCAACCTCAATATTAAATTCTATCTTAAGAGAATGGACGAGTTGAAAAATGAAATTTTGTGTCTCAGGAAGGACGAGAAAGCGGAGTATTACGCATTATGTAAATTGCAAATCGTAAATTGATCAAGGTTGCTTTTTGATACCCTTAAATGTATCTCGCCTCGAATTGACCTTAATAATGAAATTTATCAAAACTTTTGCGTATATAGACTCATACATGCAAAAATTAAAAAAACTTCCTATAGATCGAAAGGAAATTGAGTTTGGAACACACCTAAAATAACAAATACATTTTGAAGTTTATAAGTTCTCATTTTTAGTACTTTTCGAAAAAATTTTGTCCGTCCGTCCATCCGTCTATTTACAAAACTTCTACACCCTTGAAGATAGAAACCTAAAATTTTATATGTATATAGATCTTTCCTAGACACTTATTTCCACAGAAGAAAATTTTTAGCTACTTAAGGAAATTTTCCTCATCCTAATGGTATGCAATTTTTGAAATAGTTTCGTATATGAATCTAAGTAATTTTAGTAATGGAGTACATAGCTATAGATTGTTTTTGAAAGAAGCATTTTCACTTGTTGAGGAGAAAAGTGCATAGAATTAATATAATGATACGAGCAGAGTATTTTTTTTTAATTGATTAGTGTACTCGTATAATTTTTGAGGAATTTAAGTTTTATCTTAAAAAAACGTGGCTTTAAATTTCAGAGTGTGTATTTCTTATTAAAACACTATTTACAGTCGAACACGAATAAATGACAAATAATGTCAGTTTTGTATTTTTATAAGAAATTTATTATTATAGATTTAATTTTTAATTCGAATACATGGCTAAATCCGATAAGAAGACAAAATTCATTGTCTTTGACAAATTTCGTAATTATTTGTGTTTCATTTATGCGTATTCGACTGTATTTAACTTTAACTTTTCTGCTTAATTAAAACTATTTTAAACGAAAATTATTATAAATTTTTTAAGCACATATATATTTTATATACATATATATATATATATATATATATGTATATATAATAAAATTATATATAAGTAAATAATGATTTTATTAATATAATAATTTAATTTTTGTGTAGCTAGTTTAATATAAAATCGTTTATATTCGCTTTTATTGTTCATTTTTCTTAAAATTCTCATTAATTCAATTTTAATTGTATAAGCTAAGCATAATTTTATTTTGGTTCTATCATTTAATTTAAATTATATATTTTAAAATAAATCAATAGCCCCAATAATAATCAGCTGTCCAACAATTAAAATCACTTTAAAAATATTAACCTAATTTATTATCCTAATTCAATTTATATAAATACAAAAAATTTAATGATATAAAATTATTAATATTAAAATATTATATAGGAAAAATGTATGTAGTACATGTGAATATGTATTTAATTTTTTAAAAATTTTAATTCAAATTTTATCGAATTCTTTATCAAATTTCGTTTTCTTCAATAATTTTATTTAATTCGTTTTTAACAGTATGGTCCACGGCATTCTTTTGGTGAACATGGCAATACATCACATTTTTCAACACGAACACGATCACGACATTTTGTATTCATGTCGGGTTTTAATGATATACGAGTTTTTTGTTTAATTGAATGACCACATGTTGCTGTACATGGTGACCATGGTGACCATGGACCATATAAACAATCATCATTATTATTATTTGATTGTGTATTATCATTATTAGAATAACGGTTATAATAATTATTATAATTATTTTGTTGCTGCTGTTGTTGTTGTTGCTGTTGCTGTTGCTGTTGATTATTATAATAATAATTTTTGTCATCATTATTATCATCATAATTTCTATCATTATAATTATTATTTATATCAGAATTTAATTTCATATTTGAATGACCATTTCGTCTTAAAAACGCTTCACTATAATATTCATCTGGGCAACGTTGATAACATTTTTCAACTTTAACTAATTTCTTTGGACATGATTTACCACCATGCTGTGGTGTACGTAAAACTTTTCTTGTTTTAATTTGATAACCTTCACCGCATGTTACATTACATGGTCTTACATACCAATCAGATACTTTACAATCAATTTTTTCAGCTAATTGTAAATTTTCAATTGTTAAATCATTCATACGTTTCATTTGTATACGATAACGGCATGTTGCATTACATTCTTCATATGTATTAAATTTATTTTGATTTTCTTGACAATCACCAGCAATAAATATACCACATTCTCCAGAAATACGATCATAAAAATAAAAACTTGAAACATTTGCACGACATGGACCGAATACTGGTTCAAAATAACAAAATTCTGGTACAATATTACAATCTTGTTCTTCACATTCAACAGTTTCATCACGTTTTAAAACGCTACATGGATCCGATTGATCAAAATCCATATTTCTACTATTCATTAATTTACGATTATAAATTTCACGTTGACGTGTTTTATGACCAACACCACATGTTACAGAACATGGTGTCCAATCAGACCATTCACCAATTTGACATTCATCGGGTGCTTGCTAAAAGAAGAAAAAAAAATATTAAAATTATGAAAAACAACATTATTGATTTTTATTAAATGATAAAATACTTACGTCATCAGTCAATTCATGACCTTCTGAATCGATAGCACCACCACAGTCATATCCCTCACAATCAGCATTCTCCTCTAAAATAAATCCTTTAATTTGCTGAAAAAGTGCAAATGTAAATAAAATGAAATATGAGAAATAAGAATTTTTTTTATATAAATTGATATTTTTGTATTTAACCCTAAAGTACTCAAACAATTTTTTCTCTGTATGATTTTTAAACGAATCACTCTAATTCTCTTCTGTATACTTGTTGAATCATTAACTTTACTATAATATTAATTAAATTCATTAAATAAATAATTTTCCTCTCAGAGTTCAATAATAAGTGCGTCTGTCAAAGAACCTAGGGTTTTTGCTATTTATTTAGGTGAAACAACATTTGAATTTAATGGTTAATTTGAAACAAAAGAACGCTTATGGACTATTTTCGAATATTATTTAAATTAAATACAATATAATTGTTACTTTTAAGTAAAAATTTCAGGAATTGACGAAAATTTGAATTTGGTTTGCGTATTATTTTACATACGATCCTTTAAGGAGCGGATAAAATACCATAATCGTAAGAACAGATAGGATACCATAACCGTAACTGTAATAATTAAATATAATTAAAATTTCAAAGAAAAAAACAACTTACTGAACATTTTTTTGTATTTTTACGATTTAAATAATGACGACTTCTTGTTTTTGTTCCTTTACCACATCTAGTACTACATTCAGACCAACTAGTCCATTTTGATGTTTGACAAGCAGCATCATCATTACCAGCACCTATATCAAAACCTCCACCACTATAACCACTAGCACCACCTATATTACCACCACCACCGCCACCACCAGTATCTAATGCTCCACAATATTCACCATCACATATTCTTTCTTCACGTAAATTCGTTTGACAACGATATCTTAATGCTAATTCAGGATTTTTAAATGCACGATGACGATATTTTTTACCTCTACCACATTTTGTATTACATTCAGACCATGGTTGCCATGGTGTTGTAGCACATTCAATTGGTTCATTTTCAGCTAGACATTATAACATTTTATGTAAATTGTAAATTTAGATAAAAAAAAAAGAGAAAAGAGTAAAAAGAGAAGAAAAAATTCCAATTACTAAAGGGAAAGAAATGGAAAAAAAAAAAACTAAAATTACTAAGCAAAATGATTATATTTTTTTTTATATTTTCTATTATAAGCAACTAAACTAAATAATTTTTTTTATTGATTCTAAGAACACAACAAAAATATAAAGCAAAAAATTTATAAGAAAATTATTTTCTAAGTACAATAATTTGGCTATAAGAACAACATTATTAAGCTCAACAAAATGTAGCTTTAAACATAAAATGCCATTTTCTTTAAAATAGAGCGCCATTAAATAAAAATTAAGTATAGATTTTTTAATGTTTTTTTTTTTTTATTTACTTGGAACATGATCACATTTCTTAGCATATAAACGTCTTCTTGTAATATGTAAGCGGGCTAATGGTTTCATTGCTGCACCACTTGGATCATAAAATGGTGAACGTGGATCATTTGGATAATTTGAACGAATACGTCTTATGACATCTGGTGGTATTTTTGGTTGATCAGCTGACTGAAATTTATATTGTAATATTTTTATAGGTTAATTATAGGCATTGATTGAAAATATTATTTAAGAAATTAAATTAAATAATAATTGCTAATAAATTAAAAAAATATTGAGAAAAAATCAACTCAGTTAATTAAAATGTAGTTCATTTGCCAACTTTTGTATTGTAAGTTGAAACGTCACAAAAAAAAAAAATATAACAGATTTATATACCTTGCTGTAGAGCAGAACGATTCTAGCAATGAACTATAAACTTATGCTCATTTTTTGGAGAGAGAACTATTACTCGCGAATGACTGTCAACTTGGACTATACTAGCGTTCAATGTGCAACTGATAAAATAATATCCTATGCTTAAAAAAATGCAAGAGGGAAGCAAACGTAGTAGATAGCCTACAGGCAAACATATTTTTACTTTTCCTTTTGCTCCCTAAAAACACTCAAAACTTTGAATTATTTTTATTTACACTCCAAACTAATTAAAACAGAGAGATGACCAAAAAAAATATACTCCTCTCTTTGCCCAAGTTTTTACAAATTCAATTTTTGACTTGTGGAAATTCACAAAATATATTGACGTTTGCTAACAGAAATGCAATTTTCGATTTTTTATTATCGATTTTTTAACTGTCATTTGTTGACTTTTTTAATTTCTTCTTAAATTTCTTCTTTGTAAATGATTAACAAAAAGCATAACTTTTATGAAATTCTTACAAGTTTTTAAAATTTCAAATTTTATTTGATGGATATTACGTCATTTATAAGAATAGTAGCTACATTTAGACTAATGTAGTCCAAATCCAGCTACCATTCCTAATAAGTGAGATTATTGCAATATGTACATCTTTAAATATACATTTATATGCACACATTCAATTATATATTAAATAATTTTAAATATAATTATAACATTACCATATATGATGGTCCACTATCAGTTCCAGCATCCCATGGATATAAATTATGTTGTTTATATTCAACCCATGAACAATTTGGTAAACATAATTCTAAACCAGATACACCAACAATCCAATCTGGTGATGGATCAATCATTGATACCAAAGATATTAAATGATGATTTGAATCAACACGAAATACAGCAAATGTTTTACCAGTAACATTTGGATATGTTATACCTCTTGCTTTTATTATAGTTCTTATTTGATCACTCTGAAACATTGAGTTAAGAATTAATTATAAAATTATATTTAACGTAAACATATATGTATATAGATATTGTGCACTAAAATTGATAGCATTATTCAGATAAAATTCTATTACTTCAATTTACTTACTTTTTCTTTTAATTCACTTTCTAATTTTCTAGTTGAACCATGTTCTGCAACTTCTTTCAAACCTTCACTTGCTAATTCACCATAATTCCAAAATCTATAATCAATTGTATGTGATGCACCAATAATATCACTAAATCTTGTCCTCCATCCATTTGCTGGAAAATCTTTTGGATGCGTATGACGTGACCATTTACCTTCAAATGCTAACTAGAAAGTAAAACCGAATAAAATATTTTTTTACAAAATATTTAAATAAAAAAATTTATAAAATATTTACTTCATATTTTGCTTCATCACATGCACAACATGGATCCATTATTGGTGGTTGATTATCAAAATCTTCAAGTGATTCTTCACAAAATGTTTTTGTTAAATAACCATCATCCATATACCAAACATCACGATGTTCAATAACAGTTGCTTTAAAACTAACACAACCGCTACCAGGTGGCGGTGCAATCCATGTTACTTGAATTTTAGATTTTGCCAATGTATTCGTATGTGTTAATAAATTTGGGCATCTATCACTAAATTTGATTTCATGGTAATCCGTTACTTCAAATGTACCAGCTAAACGTGGATCAGCTGAATTAATATCTGTTGAATTATTTTCAACATATAACATAAAACCGATATATGTATGAGCTGATGCTATACCACGTTGTATACCCATTAATGAAACTATTAAAATAAATATTTAGGGTTGTATAATATTAAAAAAATTTTAATTTAATTTATTTTAAATATTTTTATTATATAATGTCTTATATATTAATATATTTACTATTATATCTTTGTCCTGGCTCATAAAATTGCGGATTTCCACCTATTGATATAATATATCTATTATCAGCAAGTGATTTTCCGACTATACTACCTTCTGGTACACGTATACAACAAGAATATAGTTTCAATAAATTTATTATTATAAATATAAAGAATTTAAAACGATTCCATCTATCCATTATGTATATTTAAATATATTTTTATGTATATGTCGGATATATTATATTGTCTGGGATCACCAGCGTGAAATAGAAAAGAAAACTGTAATAAAATAAAATTATTTATAAATTAACTTTATAACATTGTTAAATATGATTATATTATTTATAGTTCAGTATACCAGTCAGTATAAGTATAAGTCAATGTTCTGATTTATTTTTTCATTTTTTGTGCTATACTTAATGTATAACCTGTACAATATTGAGCTTTTTAGCGTTTTAACCTAATTCAAATATTTATTTCTTAATTTAAAATAAACAAAAAATTAAGAGAATTGTTCAAAACTGAGTTTTAACTAATATCAAATGAACCTTTAAAATTTAATTGCCTACTGTTAGGCCATTAGGCGATAAATGTATATACAAGTAGATCAATTTGAAGAGGTTTTGTGCACGTGTATTTTGTGGATATTGCCTGAAATTTCTTAAAATATCAATATATTTTTATGTTATTATTTACATAATTTCAGGAGGAACTATAATAAAATATTCATTACTGACCGAATTGCATACAATAATGGAGGTTCATGATGGCACTTAATCTCAGATGTTGAGTTTTCCGTACTAACGCGCTCCATGCTAGCGAAACATAAATAAACTATTTTTAAAGAGTTGTCGGTATGTCGGTTTGTGTGTGCATGCTGTATCGAAAATTCGTCTTAACAAATTTTAATGTGAAAGTAAAATTTTCTTATGTGAGTTTATTTCGGTTATGTAACAAATTGGTTAGGCTTCGGGAACTGAACTTATTTATGGACTTATTTTACATTTTTGCGCACATATAGAGAAATAATCTACTAGTTTGATTGAAATTAAATATTAAAATTCGGGGTATTAAAACAATGAACCTATAAATTTTTTGGATAGATCAGGGCACGGAAACTGAAATTAAATTACACGGAACCGATTTTACATTTTTGAGTTCGGGTTGTTACCGAAAAAAATTTTTAGCAAATTTAAACAGCACAAAGCGGAGCTCTACGGTAATTATAATTTTGATCGTACTACCCCATATACATGGTATTTCAATTTCATCGAAAGAACTCTTTCATATCTATTTACTTGATTTAAATCGCAAGGCATAATCCCTGTATGGCACAATATCTTTTGCTGCACATATGGCACATCACATTAAGAATAAATTAGAATAAAACTGAACATTCACACTTTGTATATTTGTTTATATAGAAAAATTATTGAGTATACGCAGAAATTTTTATTACAGTAAGTTGGATCAATTACAGAAATTTCAAGCTGTGTTTAAGAATAATGGTACGAAATTAACAATTTAAGTCGCAATTTATTTTTATAAAAACAAGTAAGAAAAAAATTTAATTGTGCTTAATATTTACGACACTTAAGACTTTACTAAAAATCATTATGTATGGATAAAAAAAATTTCATCTTTAAAAACAGGCAATAAGGAGTTTATAAAAAATTTTCCTAAATATCTTATGGACCGCCATAAGATATTTAGGAAATCATGTAAAATTTTCGATCAATAACAAATTGTAGTTATATTTTCAATTTAAATATATATTCAATACCGGTTCCATGAATTTTGTATAACTGAACTATCACGATGTTTCTGAAATTCACTCCTGTATCGGCTCAACCAAATTTTCACCTTAAATTCGGCTAAAATTTGCCTTAACCAGTTTTCTCGTAAATTTGTATTTGAATTTATTTTTGATATGAATTGTGACAAATTGATTAAACCGCATCTTAACTATATAAGATCTGATTTGCATTTTTGGTAATACCTCGGGAAACAATTAACAAAACTTCCTGAAATTGGAGTTCTATTTCTTTTTTCGGGAAAATTTGGCTTCCGAAAATAAACTTCTCCACTACTTGCTTCCTTTCTCAAAAAAAATATTCAAAAATAAATTATCATATTGGAATTTGAAATAAAGCAACGCAGAGTAATAAGCTATACGGGTAGGTTATGAACCGACCACATCAGATTTCTTTTTGATTTACTTCTTCTTAACATATTTATTTCTTTTTTATAGTGTAATTTTATATGGCGCATGTGTGAAGAATTTATTAATAATTTATTACTTTTGGAACTTAATTTTGGCAAAAAATTTAATTTATCGCGCTGAAAATGTTCAGAGTATAGGTCGGTCATTAATAAAATAAATTTCTAATGAAAGCTTCTGAAAATGAAATTTAAACTTAAACTGTTATAATTAAGATGTTTACACTTTATTTCGTTTTAAATGTATTTCAATGTCGTTATATTAATAAAAATAACAGCGCTCAATTCAATATGATCGAAATTATTGAAAAATAAAGCAGATTAATGCGAATATAAATTACATAAATTAAAAGACATTATAATTTGATTGAGATTTTTTATATTATTGCCCAAATTTCTTACAACACCGGCCTCTGTTAAAACACTAAAAAAATTTAATATGATTTATGTTTGAATTAGTCCTTGTAGAGAGTATGACAGGGCTATAATAATACCACCCAAACACTACTATATAATTTTAAATTATAGAATTACACAAGGACAGAACACACACAAAAACACTTCTAATTTTTTCTTTTTTTACTATTTTTTAATTTTTATTTCATTTGTGACAGAAAAGTGAAAATTAATTTTCATTTATACCTCATGCTCTTATCTTAAATTCACCTCAATTATATGATTTTATTTTTCATTATATTTTATTCACCAATTCACCACATTTAATTTTAATTTTCTTTCTCACATTTTTCTCACATTATTTGTACATACTATGCATTTGTATATTATTTGAATGTATATTAAGTATAAAGGGTAACTAAATTAAGTAGTGTTGTGTTACGAATACCTGTATTTAGAACCTACTTGTTGATGAAGAGAATTTTTTTTTTGCCTAAATCAGGAATGACAAAAAATTAATATATGGTGAGAGAAAAATTGCAGAAAATGGGAATTGTAAAGCAGTAAAATTTATTAATAAATTTTTATTCCATATACATTGAAACTTTAACCTATATCTGAAATGTTTTAGCATTTTTTTAAATATATAATTTTAGAAATATGTATATATATGTACATCCATATAATATGCATGCGTATGATGTATAAATTTTTATGCTTAACGTCTTAAATTTCTTGTATGCAATAAAATCTAAGTCAAAAATGTTGGAAAGGAAAAATGTAAGATCAAGGTTCGAAACTTGGCTGACAGCGCAGTCGGTAACTCTTTTTCTTTGGTGTTCATTTGAATAAAGTTACGGACTTTCACTTAATTTCAATATAAATTAAAAATTTTAATGAAAGCAAGCAGTGAAATTGGGAGAACGTCGATATTTTACGACGAGACAAAGTACCAATGCATTGATTTAAACGCGTTAGTTTACATTGCTGCGCGGCACTGCAACACCGATAATTCGAAAAATTGAATAAAATTTCGGAAAATTTAATACTTATCTCTGCTTTATGGGATAAAATTTTTTTTACACATTGCTGTCTTAAAAATTCAATAATATTCACAAATGTATACAATAAGTTGTGGTAGAATACAGTATTTTGAATACAGTCTAGTTTCTGTGTATGTCAAATTGACGTTAGATCAGTAGTACACGCTCAAACCTAGTATATGAAAATATAAAAGCAATAACGATTAACTGTTAAACTGACATTATATTTGATTTATTCCCGCCAATTAAAATTGTATTGCCGACTAAATTGAGTTGACTTTAGACTTCCATTTTAATAGGGGCGGTCCTGTCAGAGATTTTAATTCAGAAAAATGTCTTATGCTACTATATTTGCAATTTAACTATGCTATTTGTACTAATTTTTCTAACAAATTTTTGAAAATAGTTGCATAGTCAATTTACAATTTTGTTTCCTAGACAAACAAACAACAATAACAACTAAAAAGATATGCTTTTAAACTACAATCTAATAATATGTAAAATAGTGTTTAAAATAACAAAGATAGAACATATACAAATATAACACTTAAAAGGTTTCCCCTGTTCCATTTAAGACTAAATTAGTTATAATCAAGTTGGACATTTGAATGCCTTTCTTTTTTTTTTTTGTTGCTTTTTTTTTTAATTTAATTTTTTCTTATTTTCCAATAAATTATATTGTATGTACATACGAGTAATAATGTTAGAAAGTATGTACAATGTATGTTTGTGTAGATAAACAGTCAATTCTTATTTTATGAACTGAATTTCATTTTAGACAGTTTAGAACTTATTACCAGATTATTATCTTCAAACCATCTTTATGATTTATTAAATTTAAATTATTAGAGAATTATAAATCAATATATAAAATATTATTGATATAATATTGAAATAAGGTTGAAGGTTATTTGAAGGTCAAATATTTAATTTGCTTTTTTCAATTATTTTAAATTTGTTACGATAAATTCAACTTTTTAGTTAGAATAGATTATTAAATTGTATTCGATTGCAAATTAAATGAGTATGGTATAATAAATTTATTTTGACTTAAAAAATCTATTATACACCATTTTCGTAAATATCCATCATTTCGACTAAAGTACTTTCTCGAGATCAATTGTTTTTACAAACCCGGGAATACGATATTTATCGATTATTCCGTAAAAAAATGTATATTATAGCTTGAAAGTATTCGCCCAAGTGAATTGTTTTCTATGGAACCAATAATTCGATTATTGCGGTTCAATAGCTTGTTTTTGTTTTTTATAAAATAAACCTCAATACATTTACAATTCGAATCTAATAATTCAATATGGCACTATTCATTTTCTTTTACTTATTTTCAAAATTCAATGATGTAAACTTAAAAATTTGATGTTTCGATATTCTGCAACATAATTCCAACATTTTGAATTTTTTTCAATATAATATCAAATTTTTTAAATAAAAGTGATAAATTTCACTCGTAATTATCCTATTTGACTCATTCTATAATTTAGACTTATGTTGTTTTATGCAGAAAGCTCTGAGATAGTTAATAATCGATAGTACTAAAAAAAAAATTAGGGTATATTTTAAAGAACGAATATCGTTTTGTTAAAAGCCGGTTAATTATTAAATTATTTGAATTCAACAATATGGAATTTAAATACCAGCACATGTTAAATTATAATATGTGATAAAAAACTAAAAATTATGAAATTTCTCAAAATTCTATAAAAATTTAAGTGAAATTTCTATATTATTAACAATAATTTTAAATACTTAAAGAGCGTATGTAATTAAATTCACATTTCACGGTTAAAATTATCTTATTCTCAAACGGACATCCTGCTCTTGACGGACATCAATTTTTTTTATTTGAGTACAATTAAATATTTTAAAATTTATACATTTATTATATTTTTAGTTATTAAATTTATCACCATTAAGAAACGCCATTAAATATGATTTTTCTTTTATATATGCTATATATTTTATCTTCATTATTATGTATACACTTAATTTGATCATTGATTTTTTAATTAATAATTATACATAAAATAAAATTATTAAAATATTAAACCGAGATTTCACTGTTTTTCAATATTGCATTTAAATGCAAAAATATATAAGATATATAAATAATTTTATACAATATATAAAATATTTGTATTATAATTTTAAATTTTTATTAACAAAATAAATTTTTATAATATTTAAATCAATAAATCACTTTATAATAATAAAATAATATTATTGTATTATAAACGTTAAACGATATTAACATAAATAATAAAGTATATAAATGAATTATAATGGTGTATTGTAAATATAAATCCCTTAATTTTTATAATGTATATCATCTTTATTATTTATTTATGTTTATTATTATTTCTCATTATAATTTTTATAATATGTATACATACACACAAATAATATTATATATTAACTTATGCATTTAATGCACTCAAACATTATATTACATTTTATAATATATAGAATATACATAAGTATGTACATAACTGTTAACATAATATAACATAAATATTATTTTCTCTTTCATCTTTTCACTTTCTAATTTCTGTGTATTCAAAATATTTCACTATATACTAATATTTTATATAAATATATTTTTATGTATGAACAACCCTGTATAGCGTATACACAGCCCTATTCATGTATATACATATAAATATATATGCATAAATGTTATAACAACGTACCTTATTCCCGTTTTAAATTATTTATTTTATTCCCGTGAATATCTAATTGTTTTTTTCTTTTTTCTTGTATAAACGATGTTTTAAGAACGCGTTCCAAAATATGACTGCTTTATATTTTTCAAATATTTTATTATTTAACCATACTTCATTTTATTTTATTGTATATACGTTCATATATACATGTGTACATAAGTATATGAATATTGTATGTAAACGGTTGTTGTTTAATAAATTCATTCTTTAAAATCAAATTTTAAATTTATATATATAAATGGCAATATGTGAATATAAAATACATAGTGTATGTTGTATATATAAAATGTGTAAGCATAATATAATAATGAAATAAATTCGAATAAAACCAATGGTTTGTAAAGTAGCATTTTTCCACTAAAAAATTTAAAAAAAATGGCTATTAAAATTATTTTATGAATATGTAGCTAGCTCAAATTTTTCATTATGAAAAATTAAAAAAATTGCATACTTTTAAGAGAGAAACCAAAAATTTACTGAAACATTAATATAATGGTCAAATTCGACGACTATTAATGTTAATGAAAATTATAATAATAATTTCTGCTGTTATATACGTAAAAATTTGGAAAAGATTACAGTTTTGAGAATATAAGGTGCTGAAACTTAAAATATTTATTATTTAAGAGATGTGGGAGGACGGTGGTTCTCCGGTATAGAGTTTCTAAATGAAAAGTGATATTAAAAATTTAATGAAAAGACTAGTTAAAGATAACGGTTAAGCTATATGATGTTACCGAAATTTTTAAAAAATATACAGTAAATAGTCAGAAAAATGTGGAGAAGGACGTAATACGTAAAAATTTTCTACTACAATAATAATTTCTAGTATAAACCGAACATAAACCGATTATTTCCAACCTATTATTTTAAAGAGTACGAGTATAAGAGTTTTGTAAACAGACACCCGCTCGGATGGACGGACAAACGAACAAAGAGAAATTAGTAAACCTCCTTTTTCCAATTTTTTTCATTTGTTAAGAAGGCTACAAAATTTTTAATACATAAACCCATACATTATACTATTCTGTGTATGCAAATACATACATATATGTGTGCATATTACAAATGTGAGAAAAAAAAGAAAACAGAACATATGTGTATACGTACATACTTATGTACAAATAAGTAGTAACAGTATTTTAAAACAAAAGGGATAATTTAAAAATAATATAATTAAATTGCAAAGAGATATTTCCGTATACAGAAGATTGAAGAACTACTTCGAATATATATGTAAGTATATAAAATAAAATAAAATTACTATAATAGTAGAATATTTTTATATACAGTCGGACCGAAACTAAACAGCACAAAACATAATTTTGCAACAAAATTAGATCGTTTTGTAACAGAGAGAAATTTGCTTTATGAGGGTATGGATAAGAAAACATTTATGATTGCTTTGAGTTAATCTAGATTACCAGATGGTTTCCAAATTTAAATGGAGAAATTTGAGAAACATTTATATATGAAATACTTGTACAAAATAATATAGGTATTGTTTATCCAGACGGAGGTGAAAATAAGAATTAATCAGACAGTGAAGAAGAAAATTTGTGTATTATAATATGACAATTACAATTTACAATAATAAAATATTGTTATATAAATTTTTATTATACGCAAATTATATAGCTTAATAATTCTATTTGGGCTGTAATTCGAACTTTTAATATGAATCATGAAAATTTATATGACAAGTACTATATAGAACTGAATCAAATTTCATTTAAAACAGTATTAATATACCAGACTACTACAAACTATAGCCGAACAGTAAGTGTTATATTTGTATAATTGGAACGCGAATATTTTTAGTTAACCAAACGAAATTTAATTTCTGGCTTTCATTTATTTACTTAATTAATTCTTATATACGAGTATATATTGAAATCTTGCACACTTTTCGCCTCCTTAAAACCCGTTTTTAAATTATTGAAGTATATGTAAAACATATGTGTAATATATAACACTTGCATATTATTACAATGTTATTTCATTTCATTTAACATCCCTGTTAAAGCTGTATGTCATTTTAAACGATATGTCAGTTAAGTGCATCAATTGTACAGCTAAAAGTATTGTTTTAATTCACTTGAAGACATAGCTGCCCAAATTTTAACGACTAAATGGGCGAGATAATTAACTGGGTTTCAATTTAGTTAAAAGGTTATCAAAATTAATTTTGTAAAATTATTAAATATTATGCAATAAACTCTTCCTTTTGCAACTATAGTTTAGAAATATTCCTGTATATGTAATTATTTAATGAACATTCATCTCTACTATTACGCCATTTCTATATTGTATTAAAATTATTTATATCAAAAAAAACATACAAATTAATATTAAAATTTAATAAAGATTTCAAATGCTATACAATTATTTTTATTATTATGTTTTTTTTTGTTTACTATCACCAACTATCGAACAAAATTTAAACTGTAGCAATCATATTTATTAATTAATTAACCTTTTAAAAAATTTCTATTTTTATTTATACAAATATGTGTGTATGTATGTGTATTCTTAAATTGATTCTTAAAAGAGAGTAGCTGTGTTTTATTGTTGCTGAAAATAAAAAATGAAGAAGACAAAAAAAAAAAAAACAAAAGAAATTTGAGTCCAAATAAATTGCGCCTAGGTCATGCATTTCAATTAAACTTAATTGTTTTGATTCTTTTCTCATTTACTTATAAGAATGACGATATTTCCTAGAAATATTATTATCATCAATAAAATTATTTATATGTATAACAAAAAATACAGTATGATTTTATTATATTGAAATCATAAATGATTTCATTCCGCAAGCTCGTTATTTGCACCAATGGATGGTAATAAGGCGTATTGAGCCAAGAACAAAATAATCTGGCTTTACTTCTGGTGATATACCACAGTCTTACAACATTTATATATATGAATAAATGTTATACTAACATTTTATATATATGAATAAATTATGTAAGCTTAATTTTTGCATTGTCGTTGTTACAACACAAAGCTGTTGTGACAGTAACATAAGTATATTTTCAATAAAAATAAAAATATCGGTAAAAACTGGAAATTGTCAAAATTGCATTTCGGTTTTGTGTTCGTATTTCACGAATGTAAAATTTCAGTAAATATAATTCATATTAATCACCCTTATTCTATTTGTCGCATCACTTGAGGCGATGAGAAATTATAGGAAAGTATTGTTGTTTTTAATACTCGTATAGGATTTCAAATTTCGAAGTTGATTTCATTTAGAAAATTACAAAATTTTTGAATCGTCACGTCAAGTAATGTTACTAATAGAATATGGATGAATGTCTCATTTCTACATTGTGGCCGACCTGGGTATTATTTCTGTTATACCGTACATATTTACAAAATTGAAGTCAGGGATCATAATATATTACTTTACTGTTCTCTTAGTGTTATGCTAATATGCCATGATTATTGCATACATTTAGGATGAAAGCAGAAATGAAAAAATTTTAACAATTTATAAAATTTTATGATTAAATGGGGTTTTTTTTTGCGAATAGAAGATATTTACCGTTAATATTTTGATTTTATAAAGCAAAATTTTATTAATGCAAAATTCAACAAATAAATTGGTACTGAATACCATAATAACGAGATATTACTGTATTTTATAATATTTAATAAAACACAAATTAAAGTACGTACTATAAATTTGAAATATAATATATACATACTTATATATAATATATATAATTAATTGTATTGAGTAAATAATAATAATTTAAAAAATTTATGCAATACGTAATACAAATGTCAATGTCAATTGACATCCAGAATGTGACAATTTTGAAGGATATTTTTTTTTTTTTTCTCATTCGTCAAATAAATAAATTTTCACTCATCTTTGTTTTATACTACTAAAACTGTTATTATAAATTTTCAAAAGCGATCACAGACATTTACAATAAGTCGCTTATTGTAGCCTTCTCACGCTCCCGCCTTAATATACCCGTTCCAAGTATAAAACTAGAGATATCTCCTAGGTTGTTGAACAGCAGTTCCCAAACGCTTAGAAAATCCTGCTCAAAACAATTTTGTCACAGCACCCACAAAAATCTGTACAGGAGTTCGATTGGCCAAGCCTGTGTATAAAAATATGTGTATACAGTTTTGCCATCTTCATAATTTTTATGTAAATTATGAAAATGGCAAAGCTGTATACACAACGCTTTCTTTATATCAAAGATTTGATGACATAACGTTCTACAACTAGTACAAAAACCTATACAAAGGAGTAATTTAACTGAGAGGATTCGTTACACATATTAATTCAATTTATAAATTAATTTTTTTATTCTTATACGAACGCCATTACAAAACTTTTTTAAAATCAATATTTTTATGTTATTAAAAAAAATAATTTTAAAATAAATTTTGCAAAATATTTTTTAAATTAAAGAAATTTTTTTTTCACTTAAAAAATTAAAAATAATTTTAATCTTCATTTGGATTTTGACTATAAATTTCATTTATACTACAAAGAGCTGGAAATTGTTCATCTGTATTTGTTTGACATTTTGATGCTACATCACCAGATTTATAAATTTTATAATTTATTATATTAGTCCATGCATAATTACATGCAATATTAATACGATATAAATTATCTTTTTTAAATTTAATCATTGAACAACCAACACAATTATTTTTATCTGCAACCATTACCGTAAAATGTCCAATTTGTTCTCTAAAAATTAAAAAAATTAATAATTAATAATATTAACATCTTATTGTTCTTAATTATTGCATAATCAATATTGAATTTATTGCAGTTTATTGAGTATATTAATATAGTTATATAGACACAAAATTATATAAAAATTCATTGCAAGAGAGTATATACCGAACTTATTTTAGTATAATGCATGTAAAATGTTCTCCCAAAAATTTATTACTGTAGTTCTGTTTTCTGATTATAGGTTTGATCAAATTTTCGGCTCTCTTTTTTTTTATTTTTTAAAATAGGTACATAAAATTTTTACTTTCTAAAATTTACAACAATTTATTGGCGTTCATTGACATTTCACCGAGATTTATGTTGAATAAACGCAATGAGTGAATTAGTTAAAATTTATAATTCTTTCAAATTTATTTTTTTTTTGAATTGTTGCGTATACTTTGAACAAACGTACAAATATGTACATTAAGAGAATAATAATTGTAGCGTTGGATATGACGTTGGAAAACATAAGTGAACATGGTATTACCGATATTACGGTCATCAAAATGAATGAAAAAATTGCTTAATACAAATGATGTGTCTACTATGAATTACTTAAAATATAACCGCGGCCGATATTTACAGCAAAAATTTCAAAATTTGCAATTTTTTTTTTTTTTTTTTTTCTTTTAATTCTAATAACCAAATTAAAAACATGACGAATTATTTAAAATTACACTGAATTGCCAGTGCCTGTATGTTTACATAGACTACGTACACCACAATATTATACATACATATATTTTAATAAATACAAATATATTATATTTGTACATACTTACTTTGTTATCTGATATTTATTAATAAAATTCATATTAGCATTTTTATATTCATTAAACCAATCATCAATAATTGGTAAAAAATAATTTAATGATAAATTTCCTTTTGTTTCCATTTCAATATTACTAAGCCATGTACCTAAATTTTGTCCAGAATATGGAAATTTTTTTGTATTACGACATTTATCATGTTTAAATTCACATGTTAAAACATTTAATTCTGCTAATTTAGCTAAATCAGAGCACCATAACATTTTACCCATACGTTCAGCACTTTTATAATTATTTAAATTACCAGATGCAATAATATTACGATATTCATTATGTCTATTTACAATTTCATTACGTATATAATCATTTAAAATTATTAATTCAACATTATCTGGACAATTTGAACTAAATGTCTGTAAATAAATAAAAAAAAAGAAAATTGTAATATTATTAAAAAATTTATAATTATAATATTCATAATTAAATATATAAAAATATTCAAGTATAATCATTATTAATTTAGCAGATTTAGTTAATATTATTATTATACAGGTGCTATTGCAAACCTCAATTAGTAGTTGAAATTTAGTTTAAGATATGAAACACATCCTTTGGAAGGAGACTTCTGCAATTCATGCAAATAATTATATGGGCAAGTTTTTGAAAATTTTGAATTTCATATGACAACAATGCAAATAGAACATGCTTATGGTGGACATTTAAATGGTGTTATTTTTCACGTCTAACTCTTACAAATTGAAATTTTTTTCTATAATAATAGTTATAACTATTAGAAAATCTAAATTTTTGCCTGTTTTATTATAAAATAACATCTATGTGCGACATTTGAAACAATATTATATGTAGTTGAGATTCTCGACACCAGATTCAAGTTTTTGTCGAATTTTTAAAATGTCAATATTTTTAAATAAAATTATTTAAAATTTGCGACAGCGCCTTATGTGTTATAAACGCAAAAAATCTACCTCGACATGAGCACACATTACTTATGTTAATTTTTTTTTTTACATTTCTATATACGTCTGTCTATAGAGGAACTTAAGCATTTTAAGTGCTGAATTTTAAATTGAGCTTAATAGAGTAAAATTTTATATAACATTAACTATTACAGAAAATTTTATTTAACATGCTCTCAATTTATTAATAATGTTTAATTATTTAATGAAAATAATTGCTTATTTTATTTTATTATTAATATTTAGTTCGATTTAGCGTTAAGATTTATTTAAGATGACATTTTGACGACATATTATATTTATAACACACTCATGATAGTCACAATAATAGCAATTTTCACTCATAATTCTCGCACAAACTACTTGTTACACTTATTATTTTTTAATATTAATTAAAATTAAATTAATAATTCCAATTTAATTATGAATAATAATAATTTTTATTATAATTTTTATATTTTACCCCACTATTGTTGCATTTAATATGCGGTCCTGATTCATATTTACAAAATAAATCCTTATTACAGTAATCATCATCATTATCAGATGATGATATTGATAATACTGATGATATAATTAATATATTTAATAAATAATAAATAAAAATTATGAATTTTTTAAACATAATTAGATTATTTTAATTTTTATTATGTCCGAAATGCAAGAATCCGCTAACTCGCTATACTTATTTAATAATGTAAATTTGAATTTGAAGAAAAAATTAAATAAAAAATTTTATTTGCTTTTATATTAAAAAATTTTGTTAAAATTTTTTTTTGTTTTTGCATTTTATCACGTTCTATATAAATTTATCTTAGAAACCAACAGCAAACAAAATATTTTAAGCATAATTATTTTTGTATAGATATACTTAGTACAGATAAAGATTAATAATTGTACATAAAGAATATTTAGTATATACATACATATAGAAAATTATAAATACACAAATATGTATGTAATTATGCATATGCAATGTAAATTTGTTTTTGAACATTTATGTAGGTATACGAGGGTCACTATTTATATTTCGGGTCCTGGCAATACTAGTGCTACCAGGTGCAATCTGACACTTCCATTGGAAAGTTTGACATTTTTTAGGACAACTTCACTCAGAACGTTTTGTCATTCGAGCGCGAATTGTTTTGTTTACAGTGACTTGAAAAATTCATCTCGGTCAAAAAATGGAATTGTCCCGTGAAAATTTTCGTGCGATGATTTTTTACGATTTTCGGCGCGGATTATCGAGACAAGAGTGTCTCGATCAACTTGTTTCGACTTTTGGTGATGAAGCACCATCAAAAACCACTGTAAATCGCTGGTACCAAGAGTTTGGTTTCGGACGCCGTTCGCTCCAGGATGAATTTCGTGAAGGTCGGCCAATTTCGGTCGTTTTGCCGGAAACCATCGATGCTGTGCGCGAAATGATAATGATGGACCGGCATGTGATATACTGTGAGATTGAGGCATCCTTGGGCATTGGTTCCACCAGCGTACATAAGATATTGCATGAACATCTTGCCGTGAAAAAGGTGTGTTGTCGATGGATCCCAAAAAATTTGACGATTGCACAAAAGAAGGCTCGTGTCGATTGGAGCAAAGAAATGTTGAAAAAATTCAATCGCGGTGCGTCAAAAGACGTTTATAAGATAGTCAGAGGTGAGGAATCATGGATCTATGCATATGAGCCCGAAACGAAACAGCAATCGACCGTATGGGTGTTCCAAGACGAGCCAAATCCAACAAAAGTTGTTCGTGGAAGAAGCACATCGAAGCAAATGAACAAAAGCACATCGTCATGTGGCCACAGTACCTTTAGTGGAACGTAGGACGGTCAATTCTGAGAAAGTTTTCGAAGAAATAAGGAAAACAAACAAGCGCCGGCGAATCATTCTTCATCATGACAATGCAAGCTCTCACAAATCAGCTGAAACAATGGACTATTTGAGCACTCAAAATGTCGAATTGATGGGTCATCCGCCGTACAGTCCTGATTTAGCACCCAATGACTTCTTCTTATTCCCTCACATCAAAAAAAAAATGCGTGGACAACGATTTTCAACACCTGAAGAAGCAGTCGATGCGTTCAAAAACCATGTTTTGGAGGTGTCTCAATCGGAGTGGAAAAAGTGCTACGAAAATTGGTTTCAGCGCATGCAAAAGTGTATTGATCTTCATGGGGAATATTTTGAAAAACAATAAAACCATTTCCAATGATAAATGTTTGTTTTTTATTGCTAGACCCGAAATATAAATAGTGACCCTCGTAATTATGCGCGAAGGTGCAAATAATCACATTATTTGCGATTAATAACAAATGAGATAATAAAATTTACCTTATTAATTATGTAATTACACTTACCCTATTATAAAAAAAAAGTCATGAATTCGGGTGTAGCGCATATTATCAAGTTCATATTTACAATTTAATTTGTATATATTGTATATACAAGGTGTTTTGTATATATAAGTGCATTGCTATATGCAACTATCTGAAAAAATTATTTGTAAAAATTCGGAAATACTCGTAATATGTAAAAATGTTAAAAAAAAACAGTCGAGAGTGCCTGTTACTAGGAACTTGTTGAGTTGTGAACATTGCCTCTATACAAAAGTTTTGTCTAGTCATCAGGGTCTAATAACAATACACTTAAATACGAGACACTCTCGCATCTGAAATATTGTTGATTTGTTAATGAAAATCAAATAATTAAAAAATAAAAATATTTTGTAATTTAATTAAATTAAATTACATTAATTATTTTTTTTTCTTCTTTTTCATTACTTTATTAAGTTTTAATGATTTGAGAATGGCGAATTGTTATAACGGTAGTTTTATTGTTCTTAATTTATTCATGTATAACGGTACCTGAATAAAGAGTGTTTTTATACCCCTGTTCTTGTTATATCTTAGTAAACGGTATACTTACTTTTGGTATGGAGTTTGTAACTCCCCGACCTAGTCGTCTGTGGTTAATTGCAGTTAAATATCCATTTCATTGCACGTTAATTGAAAAATGGATAAAATAGAAACCACCAAACTTTTACAAATTGTTTCTTTTCTGTTAAGGAATGGCTGCTATTGTAATTGAGTCAATTTGAACAAAGGGGTTTCGATAATCATCATACAATAACAAAAGCAAATATTAAATATTTAAAAGAAATAAAAATCCAAGCCGAATTTGAATTTGTTTAATTCTATAGCTCATATATGAGGGGCTCAGAAGCAGAGTGGCGTAAGCCACAATATGGATTATACCACTTTGTTTTTGAAATATCGAAAAATTTTTACAAAAGCAAAAGTACTTTTGTAAAAAATAAATAGGAAAAAACACTATTTAGAAACTGGAAACTAATATCACTGATTCTAGAAGATGTATATAACCGATTACAGCAAAAAAATTTTTTTGCATTATTTGTGGCTTACGCCACTCTACTTGAGGGATCCTCATATATTTTGGAAATTTTTATAAAGTGGCTTGACGGCTTCGAGTAATTGCTATATAACCTAATATAAACTAATTTTAAATATTTCATTAGCAAGTTTTTATAATCAGATTGTCAAGATGCAGAGTGTATTTCAGTCGGTTAAGATCGAATGTAACGTTTTTACTTGTTTCCATTTAATTTTATTTAATAACTACCTAAGGGCTCCAAATTTTACTGTAATACAATCGGAATACGGTATAATAAACCTACTATACATTGAAAGTTCAAATATTAATTAGTACTTTCAATCTGAACTTAATTCAATTTTTTAATTTGTAGTTTAAACGAAACATAATTATGAATAGGTTAGAATAATTTTATTAAATAATTTTTTTTAGAAAAACATAAGATGCCTATAATTTGAATTTTGTTTTTAAAATTTAAAGAAAAAAGGTTTCCTTACATATTGAAATGTTGTTCCTATAACCAAACCTTATGGCAACTTCACATTTCTAACTTTAATAATTGAGAAAATGAAAAACAAAAAAAGGTGATGGGAAGCTATCTAAAATGGTACTATTCAATCCCATAACAACTTGAATTTAAGGGTCTGATCGTTTATCTCGCTATTTTAGTCGGAAAGTGAGAAGAAAGTGAGTAACTTTCATATACTTGTATAATGTGATTTTCTAGTGAGAAGAATTATTCGGTATTACGCATCTCTTTTTTGTAAATTCGTACATATTTAATACGTATTTATTCACTGTTGTTAAATTTGAAAGTGAAACATTTAGAAAATAATTTGAGAAAAAAATGCAAAATTCCAATTGAAAAAATGGGTAATCTTATTAGAAAAATATCTATTTGAAAAACGAAGAATTCTGATTTGAAAGTGAACAAATAGTGAGTAAAAAAGCGAGATACACGATTAGGCTGTTAATTCTGTAATTTCTGGATTGAAAAAACAGTTTTTAAAGAATATTTTACCAATTATTTTAAAATCGGTTTCCGTTCAATATTTAGATTCAAATAATTTTAACTAAATATTTTTAACGAAATTTCATTAAAATACAAAAATTTACAAGAGTTTTTTTTTTATAATTCTAACGTTATTTGCGACATCTAGTGGGTGATAGAATTAAGTATAAATAAAAATCTAAGTAAAAGCTCCGCCTAAATATATGTGCAATTTTTTAATTATAAAACTGGCAAAAATAATAGGCGGCGAAAATTATATTTGGCTAGGTACTAGCTATTAAATGGAATAGCGTATATGTATGATTTTGATTTACATAGCTATAGGAGGAACTTTCAAAAAAACAAAAGAATTTGAAATATGGTGACTTCAATATTGTAAAAACTGTTTTAATTAGGGTGAAATATTTTTTATGGAGAAATTTTGACGAAGCATTCAATTCATGCAGCAAAAAGAAGAGCTCGTTAACTTTCGAAAAATAGTATTACAAGTTGATAGTTCATCTTGAAATTTGATATTTGAGTTCTGGTTGTTACCGAAAATAACTGGCGATCATTTCAGGCACTTCGGGTAGCACAAAGCGAAACTCTACTAAGAGCCAAATTTACAGTTTTTAAAGGTACGTTAACTATAAGCTTACTAATGGCCTAAAAATTGGAAAGTAGTATTTAACAGACATTTTTCTAATATTCCGTAAAACTTTCACTTAACTAAACAATGCGGTCGGTTATGTGCTGACCACATCACATTTTTTTTTTTACAATCTGGAAACCTGGATCGGAATACTCACACAATTTGATTTTTCATTTTGAATTAATTTTTTCAAGATTATAGAATCTTACTTTTGTAAAGTTCATAATATATTTTTTTTTCGGTTTTTTGAAACAGATTCACTTAGCTTAACTGGATCTCAGGAGTCTAGGTCTCAGTTTCAGCTCTTAATCGATTAATTTGAAATTTATGTTGAAATTCTATGTTTTAGTAGATTGATCTTTTAACTTCATTTGAAATATACCGAAAATCTGTTTTCTTTCAGAGAAAAGTGAGAGAATTTTTACATACATATGTGTATATGCATATGTAATGTTTTAATATAACCATACTTACTCACAGTTTTGAAAAAAATAACCAAAATCAATAATCCAAAAAAAAAAATGTTTTTCTACGTACCTGAAAATTTTATGCCACACATTTGATCCATATTTTTCTCTATCTGGTGAGTAAAAAATTAAAATACAAATTGAGGCGCTAAATACTTAAATGCATTGAGTATTTTTATAAGATAATGAAATATTTAAATAATGATTACCAATTTGTATTGAATAATTAAAGACGGGAGATACTTTGTAAGTGAAAACATTAAAAATATCTCTAATATTTTATATCAACAAAGAAACAGAATAATATTGTGAATATTTACTTTTCTAATTTGATTCTTTACGCGATCTTAAAAGAAATTATATATGTATGTAAATCTATATATATATATATATACATATGTATATACATGTATACACATAAATATAAGCATACTATGTATTATTCTAAGAATTTTTTTTTTTTAAATTATTCATAAAAATTAATAATTAATTTTATAAACAAGAATTTTAATATTGTAAAGTAGTGATACTCGCCCTGTACAATGACATTGTTTAAGTAAAATCATCTTACAATGTTACAAAATGAATTTAATTATTACAATTATAAAGTAAATATTTATGATTACTCGGCTAAAACGGCGATTCATTTTTAAATAAATTGAGATTATTTAAATTTTTCTTGTTATAGATTTACTTTTGTATGTAGGGTCTAAATAATAAGACTATATAATTTTATACAAACTTATTTCCGATAAAAATTTCACGAATTCATTTTGATACTGAAATTTTCTTAAGTTAACTTTTTGGAATGCGTAAATATTTTAAAAGTCAATTTCATAATCCCGAAGTAATGTGTTTTGAGTAGCACTAGAAGAGTTTTAAAATAAATTTATGAAATTGGATGATGCTTACATAATATTTATTAAACTATATAAGTAAAAATTTTACCAATGAATTAGTTGTTATTGCTCCGGTTCGTTAACCGAAGGATATCGTGTTCTCGAAGCCCAGTCAGGTTACTATAAAAAAAATTATATTCAATATTATACAGTTTAATATACTATACCGTATTTCCATAATATCTAATATTAAAATACTAGTAAAAAATTAAAAAAAAAAACAATAAAATATCGATAGTCTCAAATATTTAAAATATAAAGAAAAAGTATAGTAGTCTCGTCACCCACCAGATTAAAAACACAATAACGCAAGAAATTTTGGAATGGTTATCTACGATATCATACACCAGTCCTATAACATGGAAGTAGAAGAAAAGAAATTAAGTAAAAATAAAAAAAAATGTGGATGGTTTTCAATCAAACAAATTTCGAGGTTTCATAACTCGAGAAGAAGGAATTAAAAATCAAAATGTCACTTGATGTATGGATTGAATCCATTCTATCACCCTGAATTGGAGTTACCGTCCACTCTCGCACATCTCGTATAATTTTCATTCAGTTTTCTTTTTTTAAGTTAATTTGCTTGATAATTTTGGTTATAAATGAAGCCATTCAATCAAGAATTTAAAAAAATTTAAAAGTTCACATTTATAGGAATCAGAAATTTTAGTGACTTGGACTTTTATTTGAAAATGCTTAGTATATGGGGTGGAAAAAATTATTTCATGTAAAAAGTTTAATTAAAAATTTTCAATTTTTAAAAAAAACTACTTCAAAAAATTCGTAGTTATTGCGATTTTTTAATCACGGTAATATTGTATAACAAAAAAAAAGCAATTGTTTAACCTGGAATTTTTAAAATATGTGATGTAATTTACAAAATTTCCAATTTGCTTAACGGTATTTCCAATTTTTCTTTGATATCATCCATTATCTATAGTAGAAATTATTTAAGCGATCATTTAAATTATAAGTAAATTTTCCAAAATCCAATTAAAATTCAATTTATCTAACAAATTATTTATATAGTATGTATAACAGCTATAAAAATTTAAAAAATTCTTATTCACGCTTTTTCATTTATATGCACTCAAATCTAGACGACGTGTTTACTTTCAATTCTACTTAAAAGCTTTTTTAATTTTAAATCTGCATATATGAGCTATAATTGTATTTCAATTAGTATAAAAATTCTTAAATTTACTTTAGAATTAAATAAAATTAAATTATATAGGTACTTACTATTGTTGAGCACTTTATTTATAATTTAAAAAATTTTATAAGAAATTTTTATTATATAAGAATCAGTTTATATCTTATAGATGCGCTTATACATTTATAATAAAATTAAATTATCAAATTATTTTTAATTGAATTTGAATGGATTTATCATTACAGAATTTTTAAAATTACTTATAATCTATGTCCATAATGATATTACAAAAGAAATTATATGATAATGGGCTAGTAATTACAAGAAATTACTGTCTTAATTGCCGTTTACATTTATAACAAAATTAAAGATTAAATTTACAATAAAGTCTGATCATTCTGCTAATACATTTCAGAATGAAATATTTTATCATGGAACTCATATGCTTGAATTTATTAATTGACTACGAAACCTATAACCAAATTTGAATTAAATCTTATAAAAATAACCTGATAGCTGTTCAAAATTCACACAGAAAAAATTGATTGTCCCTTACATATAAAAAAATCTAACTCATCTAACTCTTAAAAATTATAAGAAATCTGATGAGAATATAGAGAGTAGGTAATTTATATTATTCACCAAAATTTTATGTTAGGTAATTCTTACATGTATAGCTTTCATTATGCTTACAATTATTAATTACTTCTTTATTAAAATTTATATTATAATTATTATTGTTATATCTCAAAGAATTTCAAAATCTCATGGTTGTTTGGTTGGTTGACTTGGCCGGCGCAGCAGGTTCACTCTATTAGCACAAATGTGCTGTTTTGCCACCATTATCCCGAGAAGATCAGGGTGTCATTGAGCATACGATTACAAGTGGCCTATCTAAGCCAACTGGTTCTTTTGAGAAATCTATTTATATCCCCGATACTAATTTTCGATATTTCGTCAGTCACGGCTGATCTTCCCCACGTGACTAGTCTGGACTCGCCCAGAGTCGCACATTCGCAATAAGATAATGAAAAATGATCACCTTCTAATACATTTTTCGGCAGTAAGCGCACATCCACGCCAGCTCACGACAGAATTGGCCTGCCAGCTTTCAGGATACGAAATATAAAAAATTAAAATTTTTTTTTAACTCTAGAATACTTAATGTAGTAATTTCTTCCTCTCTTTGTTTATCTTGCTTATCTTGCATTTCTTCCTCACTTTCTTTTTTTTTCTGATTTTTAAATTGACTCTTTTGATTTATACATATTTATCCTTAACAGCATATATATAATATATACATATAGTTTTACATGCAGTGTTAATCGAAATTATTAATATTTTACTTACTCGCTTTATTGTAGATTATATAGGGTAAGAATAAATTTAAATTTCGAATTCGATTTTTTTTGTTAATGAAGATGTTTCAGTTAAAGTTACTGATTTTTAGATATGAAAACATATTGACATAGGTATTTGACGAGAGTCGAACCGAGCCGTTCGGTAAGAATTATTTTAGTTAGCGTTTTAGCAGCTTGATTATTATTTTTATTAGTAAATATAATTTGTTGTAACAATTATCTTGAATTTATATCTAAAAGATTTTTAAGAGATTTTATTTAAAAATTTCGATTCTACTTCGAATTAAAATATGCTTCGAATGTAATTCACTTCGAATTTGATTCGAGCCATATATAGAGTGACTTACACTTCTATGCGTAAACGCTTTTCTAATTCAATTATATCGAAAATATATGAAGATATTGTATAGGCAATTTCTTCTCTTTGTTCCTTTTACATAATAATATGGCGTAGGTATATGCTATAATATTTCTCGACTCATCATTTATATTACCTTCTTCAATATATACCATTAACATTTTAGACTAAATTACATATACGATAAGAGAGGTAAATTTTGTGAAAATATATACAATCCCATTGCAAACATGAATTTAAATATTAACAGCTTAATATATGGGCTAACATTAAATTATTGCCCATTATACGCATTTACATAAGAAGTCGTCCAAAGAAATTTCATGTCGAAGTCAATTATTTGAGTGTGTTTGAAAATTACACTAAATATTTTGTCGGCATAGTCGGATTCCAAATAGTATTAGAAATCATTTACTTAAAAATCTAGTAACTAAAAAAAAATTAAAACAAAATTGAAAAGAGTGTGTGTATAAAAGATTTTGTAGTGAAACGAATGTATGGGGGATTTTATTCAGAAATATACACACTATGTCTCGGATATATGTAAGCTGAGTAGACTAGATTTGAATGTTTTTTTTTTTGCAACCTGAAATTCAATTATTAGCAATTAAGTTATTTATTTTTTATAAATGTAGTTATACTTTCTGTATAATAAGCTTAAACTATAATGAAATTTAATGAACCTCTTTGTATAATTTCCTTCTAATCTAATTAAAAAAAAAAATCATGAATTTTTTTGAAATTACCATATAAATTTCAAAATGTACCCATAATATAAGCTCGTACATACACATGTCATAACTGAATTTAAACGTTTTCAAGCTTGATTTAATAAAAAAAAAGGGAATTACAAAAATGCTTTCTCAGCCCCCTCGCCAAACCCACGTGTATCTTTTGTATTGTAGACTAACAAGAAATCATATTTAATTATTTATTTACGTATAGTTGGTATATATAGAAAATATTTTCTAATGAATTTTTCAGAACAACATAAGAGATGAAAAAATTGCAATGGTTTTAATTTAAAAAACATTTTAAAGCAAAAAATTGTGTTTTTAAATAAATGCAGTTTTTATTTTATTTTTGGAAAAAAAAAATTTATAATCTTTTTATTCAATATTATTTGAAATATTCAATTTACTTGAAGTAAATTAACTTATTATAGCTTAAATTACTTTAAGAATCTAAATTTTAGAATTAAGAAATGAAAAATCCCGGCTTTAAATAATTTCACTTTGGAAAAATATAGAACAAACTCATTTGATTTGTAAAACAGCATTTTTCCCTTAAACGAGATAAATTGAATGAAATTTCATTTTGTTATCGAAAACTTTTGTGATTTTAAGAAAGTTTCTATTCAAAGCGAGTTCGAATATGTATAAAAGTATGTGGACATTTTTTTTTAATCGAAAATATTTTGACGACTCGGTTATAAGTCGTGACATTAAACAGGGGTTCATATTAAGCATATCTTGTTGAATACCAAATATATGCTCTGCGAAAGAAAAAAATTGCATACATTTAGGAGATAAATAAAAAACTAAAAGAAATATTAATATAGCTGAATTATCAAATTCGGCAATTATTATTAAAGTGAATGAAAATAAATAATAATATTTTTTTGAGACTTACCAATAGTTTTTTAAGCTACTATTGCTTAGATTTTCAAAAGATGCATTTATTTAATTAAAATTAGAAAAATTTCTTCTTAAGTGAGTTACAACAGTCTTGTTACATATAGCAACACTATAAGTTAATACACAATAATATAAAAATTTAAATTTTTTGACATATTTTTTATACCAACTTAAATAACTTAGATTGCATCAATTATTTATTTAAAAATGCATTTTATGTGAATTCAAATGAGCATTTCATTTGAAAAATCTATTCTAATTTTAATTAGTTGGTATAACAAATTAAATTAAATCTGTTTTATTTTTATGTGGATATGATAATAAAAAAGATCTTGTATAACAAATGTTAATTACCTAATGTGTAATAATTAATGTACATATAAAAAATTTTATATTTTAAATATTTTGCTATAAATATTCATAAATTCAAATATAGTCCACTAAATACTAGTTTGGTTTATATCACATTTTTGCCATTTTTGAGTTAAGAGTTGATAATATACAATAATACGTTAATATGTATACGATCTTTAAGATGTTCTTAAAACTTTTCATTGAATTCATTAGTTTTTGGAAGGCAAAAATTTTTTTTTGTATCTTAAATTTTAAATAGTTTTTCTCGATATTACTGAATTGATTTATGAATTAAATTAACATAGACTTTCTCATGAGCAATAAAATTTTCTTATATTTCCATTTTTCTATATTAAATTCTTTATTAATATTAATATTCATGAGAAAAGGGCATTTTTACTATATATTTTAAAAAAGTAAAATGAAAATGTGCTAAAAAATATCTCAAAAGCAAAAATGTCTTCTATTACTTTTCACAATTTTACTAATATTTTTCTAAGTATAGGTTTAGAATTGCCTTTTCAAATCTTACCAACAGTTACTAAGAGGGAAAGAAGGTACTTTTAATCACGTCAAGTTCCATTGTATCGTTGTATAATATTAAGACTTGCTCGGTGTATCATCGGTTAATCCGTATCCGTGAATTCACCAATGGTGATCCAAATGTTTACATTCAGTCCGCACCGATGAAATCCTTAAATTTCAATTAAAGGAAATGTATAAATAAAATACTTTGTTACAAATTAGCTGTGGGAGCTTTATTTAGAAATTTTTTGCAATTCTTACCGCCGCTCTGATATAATGTGGGATTCAATGTAAATTTTTTTGCATCATTGAAGGAGCTCAAGGTATTATTTTTTATTTCATTTTAAAAATTTGTTATTCTAATTAAATATCACAAATTTTCCGTAAACCAAGAATAGAAATAAAAATTAAATGCTCTCCTGTAAATTGTAGCAATTTCGACTTGCAACTTAATAAAAACTTACGACTTAAAAATTTTATGTTTTTTTTTTTTTCTCATTTATCTTTTATTAAAATAATATTTAACATATTTAAGTAACTTAT